GCTGCTGCTGCTGCTGCTGCTGCTGCTGCTGCTGCTGCTGCTGCATAGAGTCTGACTATGGAGTCAGAGAATTCTAAGATGATGTCCCTAGCCTTGAGAAAGTTTGGATTTACTTCAGAAATAACAAACTTTAAGAAAAACAGTTTAACATTAGTTGATAATACTACCGAGTGTTTATGTCAGTTACCATTTTACAAAATTCTTTTCACAAATATTATTTCACTTAACCCATACCAAAGGTCTTTGACTAAATAATACCATGATCTTTCTGTGGAGGAGGAAATGCGTGTCCAGAAGAGTTGAGTGGCTTACCTGAAGTCGTGAGGTTGGTAGAGGGTGGGTCACAAACTGTCATACAGATTTTTACTTAATATTATAAGCAACACAAGCGCTCTAGGAGATGAGGAGGAAAGACTCTGAGCAGTGGATGATTCTAGAAGCCACCAGAGGCTAGAACTTGATCCCTAAGAATGAATGAGTGCATAGGGGATCCACACTGCCTGGGATGGCCCAACCAGTGTATGCCCCTGGCTTTGGAGGCCCTGCAGTGTTTTGTACAGGTCTTCAGCTCCACTCTCTAAAGTAAAATGGCCAATCACAGCATCAGGAGAGGGTCACTGCAAAAACTTTATTCACAGGAATAAGTGGCAGTCTAGACTTGGCTTTAAAGCAGCAGTTTATAGGCATGCAGGATATGAGATGGAGGGACCAGATCCTCCCCTGAGGAGGGATGGATGCTATGTGATGCCATGTAGACAGCGCCTGAGAGACAGTGAGTGCATCAAGGGACAGTGGTAAGGCAGTTCAGTTTGTGCGGAGAATTCTTCAGGAAGGATGGAGACAGCTACCATCATAGCTTTGGCTGCCTAATAAAGTACCACAGACTTGAGTGACAGAAATGGATTGTCTTCCTGATTCTGGAGGCCAGAATCTGAGATCAAGGTGTAGGCCAGACTGGATCCATGGAGGTTGTGAGGGAGAAGTCTGTGTAGGCCCCTCTCTTTGGCTTAGAAGCACTGTCTTCACCCTGTATCTTTCTGTGATCTCTCCTCTGTCTCTGTCCAAATGTCTTTTCACTGGGGTACAAGTCATGTTAGGTTGTGACCTCATTTAATTATATAATATATTTAAGGGCACTGTCTCCTAAAACAGTCCATTCTAGTTAAGAGGGTTTAAGACATCAACATATGGGTTTCTAGGGGGCAAAATCCAACCCATAGCAAGTGAGATGCCCAAGTTAAAGGGAGTATAGCCTACAAGGCAAGGCACTAGGAACTCTTTTGTTTGCTAGCCATACTTTGAGGAAATAAATGCTAGTTATTCCCATTTTTAATATAAAAATGTAATAAAATGGACATCTAGACAAGTAAATGGCAAGGCTCCATATAGGAGTGAATGGGCCTAGCCATTGCAGCCCAGCAGGCTGGATGCCAAGAGTCACCCTGGGACTCCTGCCAGAATTCTGCCTCGTGGGGAAACACCTTCAGTCACTGCCAGTAATGTCTATGCTGGTGTGGTAACTTTCTCAATGGGGGAAGGCAGGGGTTTGAAAGTAGCAGGTAAGTTCTCTGAGTTTGTATAATGGCTTAACAGCTACATTGCAAAATGAAGACAATATTTTTTTAAGTCTCAGGAGAAACTGGCTATCCCCACTGAAGTCAAATGATGACCTTAGAAAACCCCACACCTGGGACAAAGTCAAGGCTGTTTGAGAACCCAAAAGTTTCAAAACTCAGCATATTTCATCTTTCTTCCCAGATTCATTTCACATTCTCTGGTACCTCTTAGGTGGTAAGAGCACAAAGGGAATTCTGAGAGCAGGTCAGCCTAGGTGTCTTATATGTGATTGTTTTTCCCTGTATGTCTTCCAAGCCTTGAGGTTGGGAAATACGGGGGAAAAAAGAGAAAAGAAAGGGAACACCAACAATCTTTCCATTTCCCTATTAAGTGACCATGCTAACATTTTCCTTTACCAAAACACAAATTGCTTTGACTCTCAAGCCTTTGTCAAACCCCTTCTGAGAATTATTTTACACCATGTGATGTCTCATGGTGGAGTCCCAGAGCTCAGCAGCTAAGATTTCAGAGCGTTTATAGACCCACACATGCCAGGAAACACCTGTCTGAACAACAGCTTAGATCTGACATACCTCCCCTGAGGTGTGTTATCATGTGGTCTCCACATTGTCTCATGGAGAAATTATATGTGGAGATCGTTATAATTCATTACAATTTCCATGGCATCTACCCCGTCATTTTCCAAGCAAGCTGAGGAGAGGCACTAGCTGTACCTCTCCTGAGACACAGAAACAGACTACCAAGTGCCACTCAAGCAAGAGTGGCTACTGAGAGTAGGTGTTTAGAGGGATGGAAGGGTAGGACATACTAATTCAGGGATGAAACGAGCTATTGGCAAGCCATTGCCTAAGTGGGCGTGGTGGCTCCTAGCTAGCTGGGAGGCAGAAGAAGGACTCTTTAAGTTAAGGAGTTCAAGCATCCTAGTATCATCACAGGACCCCGTGTGTTAAATAAAATAGAAAGAGTAGAGTCTATACAACATTTTAGCTATTGCTACCCAAACTAAGAAACAATGATGTCACCTGTCAGTTGCAACGACAACTGTGGATTGCTTTCTCAAGAAATCTTTGGGTTTTTTTTTTGTTTTGTCTTAGAATCTTCCTCCCCAAACCCCAGAGATCCGCATTTGGTGATAGTGCCTGTTAGCAGTAAAGTCAGAAAATGAGTGTTTACCCTGAGCATTTGTGCACACATGCACACACATGCACATGTACACAGGCTGCGTTTTACAAAGGATATATCCTCACCTGACTGGAGAGATACAGGCAATCACATAATCACATTGGAATGGGGTGTCCTCTGACCCGTCTTTCAGCCAATTACCTTAGCTAAGCAACCATAGGTGGTCAAGCTTTCTGACTCACATCTGTGATTCTAGACCTAAACAATCCGAGCACATAGTTCCCCAGAAGTCTCCCTTAAAAAACAGCTGCCATGCTTCTTGTGTGATCCTTTACTGACGGCTTCATTTCCAGCTGTTTTATCTCCCAGATGTTTATGGGATAAACGGTCATGAATGTGCCTTTCTGGTTAGAGATGCTCATTTCAACTAGGAACCTTTAGAGCTGTAACTAGACCCACAGAGGAGATTGAGTGGAGACCATGCAGGCCACATAGGGAACTGAGCCAGAAGTTCTGCCAAACCCCACCATGGGTATCCTGACCACATGTGGGTACAGCTGAACACCATATATTTGTCAGGTTCTTCTTATGGCTTTTAAAGTTACCCTAAGATTGTTTCCAGAATCAGACAAGATGGGGCACACTTTTTATCAAGCATAATGCTAGATAATGCTGCTGGTTAACAGGTCTCTGAGCTTTGTGACACTGACTGGAACCCATGTTCTCTCACACCAGCTGCAGGAGCTTGGCAATAGGCAGTCTTCTGTTTGCATTTCTAACATCCACAGAAAGCATGGTCCTCAAAGGCTCTCATTCTTGCTTTAGTTCTTGTTCTACTTCTAAAACATACCTTTCTAGAAGGGAGATATGAGCTAACTCACTTCTAATGCTTGATTCTGGTGGGATTTTTGAGAAGAAAGAGAAGCCCCAGAGCTGATTTGAGAGTTGCTCTTAATTCTACCCCGTGTTTTGTACGCTGGAGACATGGACCTTCCTGTAGGTTGGCAAAAAGTTTGACCCCTCTCTAAGAGGAGCCAGACTTCTGAATCCCCACTAACAAGACAGCTCATTAGCTATAATCTGAGTTGCAGGAGACTAGGGTGAGTTCCCTGCACAGCCTTCCCTAGAGCACACGGGGCCACTTGCCTGTCCTCATCAGAGCACATCCATTCTTGTAGGACTGTCTGGTAACTTCCTACCACTGTCCCCTGCTGCTCCTCCTTAATAAGCTGAGGTCAGTTCATGTCCATTGCTGATTTCCTACAGCTGCTCTGGGGCTTCACAGAAGCACACAAGTATGAGTGTTATCAAGAGAAACACCCTTTCAGGGGAGTTAGCTAAAGCATTGGTTCTCAGGGCTTGAGGTAGTCGCATAGCACAGACTGCCCTGTCCTTTAGCTCCTTCCTCTTCAGTTAAGCCCAGACATGAGCAGAGCCTAAGGCTTTCTGTGCACAGGAAACTTAATTCTGATGAAAAGTCAATTCCCAAGACAGCTTAGTTATTCTGTACTCAATCCAGACTCTCGGGTTATTCCTCTTCAAAAGAAAACAGAGTGTGAAATATACTATATATGAGTTACATGCATAGTGTATGCAAAATTAAACAAATTAAGCATTTGAAATCCAAATAAAGAGGATGCATATGTACTTTGGATGAAACCAAGACTGAGGCATTGGATCGCATCTTATTAAATGAAACAATGACAAGCTAAACAAGGGAAAAGTAGATCAAAAGACAAGTGACAAGTGTCTCCACTCCAGGACAAGTGGGAAGGAAGTGTTGGTGGTCACTGAAGCTGGCATTTATGGTTCCTGTGAGGACGAAGCTTGAACCACCTCAGCAGTGAGATGGAGAAATTCAGGCACGCATGATCTTAGCAGTTACCTACTTAAATCTGTACAAGGAACACCCGACTCAGGTGCCACAGATACCAGGCAGTTTCCAGTTACACGTGTCAGTGTGATTGGGAACCTCTTCTAGAGTCTGCCGTTTGCTTTACTAAGGGTCTGTCATTCGTTTTATGTTGTTAATTCATGTGACTTAAGGAGTTTGAGCAGATTTTGTTATGTTTTCTTACATGTCTTGGTTTATGCTTTTCATTGTTTTCATTAATTTGGGGAGACAAAAGTGTTCTATGTAAGAACTGGGTTGTTTCTTTTGCCTGTGCTGATTGCATGTTCTCTGTTGATGTCTTGTCCCTGGTGTTGACACTGGTCATCCTGTCTGTGAAAGGAGGCGCTGCAGCGGGCTTGCTTGATCAGAAGAAAGGGAAGTTTGCTTGGTTTAGTCACTCTACAGAAACCCATGGTAATGTCTCCTATGCTCTCTGTGTGTAAATGTATGTTGGTCCATACAGATTGCATGGGAGAATGTTGTTCTGGAGAGAGGGAGAGAGAGAGAGAGAGAGAGAGAGAGAGAGAGAGGAGAGAGTGTGTGTGTTTATGAGAGGAAGACTGCTGACCTCATTTCCTCCACTGGACAGAGTCAGTGAGTTTGACAACCAGCAGCACCAGTTCCCTGATAGAAGTTGGAGTCCTTCCTTTGGATAGTGACAGCTAGAATCAGTCACTGTAAATGCAGAATGAGCCCCAGGGCTGGAAGTGTCTTGACTTTAGAGGATAGGCTTACTCCTGAGGCCCAGGCCACTTCTTCTGGATTTTGGTGTCTTTCCAAGCCTAGCACTACTATTTTCACACCACTTTACTCACATACGAGAGGTTCTCTGAGAGCCAAGTATCACAAAGTCAGGTGGCTTTCTATATATGGCTCACACATCCCAAGCGTGATACCTGGAGAGTTAAAGGGGCCTGAGTCTGGGGTGGCTAAAGATAAATGAACTGAAAGGCAAAACGCCAATCACTTTTACAGCTCCTTATTAATATGGATTGTCCACAGCCCATGGGAACTGCCAAAGGCCCCTATTCTAGTCCCCAATGCTAAGCCACCTGGCAGACTAGTCCCACCCAAAGACCTAGGCTGGCATGTCAATGTCAATACTATAAAACTGAACAGCATTGCTGGGCTATTCTGTGCCATCCAGTGGTGTGCCCAGGGCCTGAGTCCACTTCCCAGTCATTGACTTACCCTAGATGTAGAGAAGAGACTTCGTCTACACTGGAGTTGTCAAGGTAAACATGGGACAGGGACAGTGCCCAGTTACTAGTCCTCTCTAGGTATACCATGTGACCTAGACCATCATACCCATTCTCTAAGCCTTACTTTCCTGTGACGTAAGGGGAACATGTTAGAGCTGGGTAATTTCTATAGTTTCCTCCATCCCTTAATATCTATGAGATGATGTCTAGATTATCTTTCCTCAACATTTTTGAGACATAATCCTAAGACAAAGAGAACTACTCCATGTGACATTCAAAACAGTAAGTCGTGGGTTTCCTGTTTGTGTCTTCCGTTTGGGGAATGAGTCTGTTTCCATCCACCTGGCATGTCTTAAACCAGAAGAAAAGAAACTGGGGAAGTTCACTTCCATCAACATTACCATGTAAGCAGTGAAAGTCCTCCCCTGAGCTGTGGTAGACCATGGAGACTTGTCACTAGTTGTAGACACTGTGGCTGCCTAAGGCTAGTCATTTCTTACTAAATGAGGTTTATTCTGGAAGGAGTGATGGTTCACATTGCTCTAAAGTAATATTAGTAAAATCAAATAACTCCCTGGGAGTTGTGGTACACACTACTAATGCCAGCACTCTAGAGGCTGAGGCTGGGGGGGGATGCAAGTTTGAGGACAGCTTGGAATATATCAAAAACATATATTCTTTTTTTTTAAAGTATATATATATATATATATATATATATATATATATATATATATGAGAGTGAGAGATTCATATTACATTATAAAGGATGATGGCAGTTCTGAAGAACTCTTTGACCTAAACTTTAATTTCATAGAATAAATAATGCTAAAAGAAATGGTATCTTCTAAGCCACCGTGCTTAGTCTAAGCTAGAAAACTCCCTTCTAGAAATCTAGCCTGCTGCTGCCATAGTGTAAGATGTTGAGTGTTGCTTGGACAGACTGACTCCAGGAGAACCAGGTAGCTAGTATCTCTTTTGGAAGGGTGCGCCAGGACTTATGGGAAGAGAGATGGTATCCCTGCAGGCTCTCTTTGACCCACATTTAAGCATAATTTGTGGATCCTGCAACTAGACACCTCCAATCCTTGTCTCTGCCATGTTGTGTGAGGCCAAACAGGTGAGATTGTCAGTTGCCAGTTACCTCAAGCCCACCACCTCAGGTGTAGTCCTAAGTGTCTTTGTTTTATAACACAGTGCACTACAGGAAATAGTGTCCTCAAATCTACCAAGAAATTTGAGTAGCAAAATTGCCCTTCCTAAAAACAAGCTAGACTCCAGTGTTGGGTTAGAGCTGGTAAGGAAAGAAAGAAGGTGGTAGAGTCTTGTTTTAAGAGTGTCTTTCCCCATGGTAAGTTGACAATGCAAGTGGAAAACTTTACCACCTTTCTGAGGCTACGAAGTTGAGGGCAGAGGAAAGATGCGACCATCATCCTTGCCCAGCTGTGTCCCATAAGGTAAATGGTCTGATCACCAGAGTCCCTGCAACATTCTACTCAATTGCAATGTCCTGGCAGCTGACTTGCCCAGCCTGATGAGGACAGTGCCAGGACCAGGCCCCCACAGACAGGTCAGCAGGTGGTGCCCAGCCAGCTCTGGGCTAGATGGTATATTGTACACTAATGTTCTTCTCCTTCCTTTCTCTCCCTACCCTCAATGTCTCCCTTTCACTCACAGTGAGCATGCCCACAAGTGAGACTGAGTCTGTCAACACTGAAAATGTGGCTGGAGGTGACATCGAGGGCGAAAACTGTGGAGCCAGGCTTGCGTGAGTACCCACAGAAAACCTAGCGCTGAGTTCTTCTGGGGCCATGGCTCATGGTGGCGAGTGTGATGGGTCCTCACTGCATGGGCACAATCAGAATCTTGGGTGACAACCTGTGCCCTGTGTGTGGAGTGAAAAGAGGCCTGAGGTGAAGTATGGCCTTGTAAGTGGCAGTGGGTTCTTTAACTTCAAGTCCATCTTCAGTACTTCTGTTAGGGCCACAAAACTTGGATGCTGGACCCTTTCACCCCACTGTAGAAGTACAGAAGTAGGGGTGCTCTGATGTCTGGTTTTTTTTTTCTTATTCCCTTTCATTTATTTTTTCCATAAGAGCTAGTAGGTCAGGGTCCCTGGCAAAAATGGCCTCAAGGAAAATCACCAGCTGAGAAACTCCACTACCAGGGGATGACCCTCTGGTCCTGTGCAGCCCTTAGAATGGAGAGAGACATTGCCTGGGGTACCACCTAGATGTCCTTAGCCTAGGAGGCTGCAGTCCTTCGCAACTAAGCCTTCCTCCCAGTTCCTGGTTCCCAGGGGATCTGACCTGGGACTTAGCCAGATGAGAGAGCAGGAGCTGTTGTCCATGAGAGCAGTGCATGAATAGATTATGACAGTCTTGAACACAGAATCAAGTCACAATGATGTTAATCGCATCATTCATGTCAATGACCCTTGCTCCCTAAATGAAGGGAGAAATGGTTTCATTACTAAAACTGGTAAAACCAATTTGATTACTAGTGTCACAGAAAGCAGAGCTGTGGGGGAAAAAGGGCTATGCCACTAGATAGCCACGCCCAGGCTTCACTTTGGAGGCAATAACTGGTTTTTCTATGGCCATGAGCATGTCACCTGTGACCTTGTCTTGACCACTGGAAGGAACTGCAAACAGAAAGCTCTGAGTAGGAGTAGCCCAAACAAAATGTGTCTCCAAATGCTCCATGAGTAGAACAACACCTTCCCCTGTAGCATGACTCACTGCCACGCAGACCCAGCCTTCTCACGACAGTAGCTGCAGGCACATCTGAGTGTGCCTGTGAGTGAGCCAGAAGAGGGAGGTGAGCAAGACTGAGGAGCATTGCAGGCAGGTTCCAGGGTACACAGGGCTGTGGCATCACTCACTCTGACAGTGGCACCAGGGAGTCTGCCCTGCAGATTTCTCAGCATTGTGGAGAAGCAATTATTGTCAAAATGTTGTTAAAATATGGTGCTAATTACATCTGTAAGCAGCTCTCCCAGTCTTTGTTCTTCTTTTCTCTTTTGGAATTTTACAGAATAAGCACTTGAGTTTCTAGAGGTGGCCCCAAATAGCAATGATAGGGCCGGGCATCTGGGACCTCTCTGGCCCATAAGTTCTAGGCATTTCTGCTTGCTTGACATCAAGGATGGGAAGTTTGGAGAACAGATTATCAAGGTTATTACAAGGCTGGCTTTGGGGTGTGGCCCAAGGTATAAACCAGGAGGGCCAGGGAGCTGGCACTGGGAACTCACTTAACATTACAGATTCAGAGAACATGATGCTGGGTTGCAAAGCAAACATGATTATCCCCTGTGGAAGGAAACTGGCATTGCTGGTCTATCTGTCACCTCCTAGGAGGATGTGCTCTGCTTCAAGAGTTATGCAGAAATGGTTACTCTTGTTCCTACACATACCCAGGTTGATACATATCTGTGCTGCATACAGAATATAAAATTGTGGTGCCAGAATTGAATTGTAATTATACACTCCATCATCTTCTTTCTTTCACCCTCTCCCAACAAGATAGTGATGGGCCAAGATTGCCACTGTTCTTATCAGCGAATCGACTTGAGAATAAAAGCAGGCTGAGGGCAGAGTGAGAGGTCGTCAAGGAGAAGGCTGGGGTAAAGATGTTGCGTGGGTGGGAGAGGGGTGTAAAAAAAACTGCAATGTGATGAAGTTCAGTGACAAAGAGAGATATAAAGGAAGGATTCACCAAAATTTGAAAGAGAAATTGATAACAAGCCTGTAGCAAAACTGGACGAGGAGGTCCAGCCTAAATGATATGTAAGTACTGTGTGGACAGCAGGCTGAGGAGCTCTGAGGTTTAATTCTGGCATCTGAGGCCATTGATAAGGTCACAGGATAGAGTTTGTTAAGAGAGGTGTAGTAAGCTGGACACCTGAACCAAACTTTGGGGAAACGGACACACAGGACAGAAAGACGCAAGTAAACAGACAGTTACACTGGAAGATGTGGGAGGGAGATGTCAGGAAAGCCCTCTCTGTGCCAACCTTCATGGTGGTCACAGCCTATGCTGGGTGGTAGAGATAGTAGTCATCCAGAAAAAAATGGCACTGACCCTGCAGAGCTGACAGTCTAGGGCAGAAGACTAGAAATTGGGGTATTATGATGCATAAGTGCCCTCAATAGTGGAGAATCCTGGTTTGGAGTGGCAGGTTAGAAAAATTCACTGAGGGATTAAAATTTAAGCTGAAAACTAAGAATGGATATAAATACTAAGTGCCAGGGGCCAGCATGTGTGTGAGGGACGGTGGATCAGGTTCAAGGCAAGGACTGGTAGGCCCCACAATGAACTTGGTCTTTGTTATAAGAGTGTGTGAAGTTACTGAAGGGTTTTAAGAATTCAGTGCTGTGAGGGGGTCAGTTTTATCAATCTGTACTCTTGGAGGATCATTTTGACATTAGGAACAATTAGGAAAGAGGGTGACATATTCATGAAGCACCCGCTGTGGCTGCTCATTTGTGGGTTAATGGCAGCCTCGGGTAGAGTTGTAATGTGGGGACAGAAAGAATGGGCGATTGTCAGTAAGTCCTGGAGCTCTCTGCTCTAAGGGGTTTTAGAGGTATACTGACCCTGGGAACCAGTCTTAGCAAGGGGAGGGTGGAAATGTGCCAGTGAGGGCACCCACTAAAACAATGGGGCCATTCAAAGGGAGAGAAAAATGGGATAGGGGAAGGAGGTGGCACAGTAATGAAGGGGTGGCTTTCACTGTCATCCGGGTGGTATTCGAGACACTGAGAAGCCAGTGAAAATCAAGAGGCTAAAGAAACTGCAAAGGGACACCCTCTGCCCTCTGCTTGAGGTGAGTGTAGGTTCTGCTCGGGCCCAACTCCCCACATCCCCTCCTAGGAACATCCTGGGTCCACTCCACATGTGGTAGAACTGCCCCAGCAGAATGGACCACTCTGAGTCTGGCCACACCTCAGTCTAAGCACCCCCCTCCACCCTCTACCCTCCACCCTCCACTTGAGTCTTAGCCCCCCCTCCGCCCTCTACCCTCCACCCTCCACTTGAGTCTTGGCCCTCCTACGTCCACTGGAAGACAAAACTAGATTACACAATACATATCCACAAATCTAGCCCTACAGAAAGTACTGGAAGGAAAACTCCAACCCAAGGAAGATAACTACACTCATAAAAACATAGGCAATAGATAATCTCACTTTACCAAATACAAAAAAGGGGGAATCCATACACAATACCAACAACAACAACAAATCAGAAATGAACAAGAATTAACAATCAGTGGTCATTAATATCCCTCAGTGTCAATGGTCTTAACTTACCTATAAAAAGACACAGGCTAACAGAATGGATATGAAGACAGAATCCATCCTTCTACTGAATACAAGAAACATACCTCAACTTCAAGGGCAGACAGTACCTCAGAATAAAGGATTGGGAAATGATTTTTCCCAAAAAACAAGCTATCCTAGGATAGGTGTAGCTATCCTAATATTTAACAAATTAGACTTTAAAGTGAAATCAATAAAAAAAAAAATGAAGAAGGTCATTCATCACAAGAAAAGTCCATCAAGATGAAGTCTCAATTCTGAATATCTATGCCCCAAATACAAAGGCAACCACATTCATAAAAGAAACATTACTAAAGCTCAAATCACACATAAAACCTTACACACGGGGCTGGAGAGATGGCTAAGCGGTTAAGAGCACTGCCTGCTCTTTCAAAGGTCCTGAGTTCAATTCCCAGCAACCACATGGTGGCTCACAACCATCTCTAATGAACACTGTACACATAATAAATAAATAAATAAATAAATAAATAAATAAATACCTCACACACTTATAGTGGGAGACTTCAACACCCTCCCTCACCACTAGAAGGACCACCAGACTGAAACTTAACAAAGAAACAAAAGAACTAACAAAAGTTATGACCCAACTGGGATTAAAAGACTTCTTCAAAACATTCCATCCAAACACAAAAGATTATACCTTCTTCTCAGCGCCACATGGAACCTTCTCTAAAATCAACCACATACTCGGCAACATAGCAAATCTCAACAGATACAAAAACTGGAATAAGCTCCTGTATCCTATTGTATCGCCATGGTTTAAAGTTAGAATTCAACAACACAAATTGCAGAAACCCTACAAATTCATGGAAATTGACCAATGCACAACTGCACCATTCCTGGGTCAAGGGAGAAATTTTTAAAAAAGGAAATTAAAAACTTCCAAGAATTCAATGAGAATGAAGACACAACATACCCAAACTTATGGGACACTTTAAAAGCAGAACTAAAAGGAAAGTTCATAGCACTAAATGCCCACATGAAGAAAGTGGGGAATAGTCACACTAGAGAATTAACAGCACAACTGAGAGCTCTAGAAAAAAAGAAACAACCTCACCCCAGAGGAGCAGACACCAGGAAATAATCAAATTGAGGGCTAAAATCAATAAGTAGAAACAAAGAAAACAATACAAAGAATCAATGAAACAATGAGTTTGTTCTTCGAGAAAATCAACAATATAGACAAACCTTTATCCAAACTAACCAAAAGGCAGAGAAGGAGCATGTTAATTAACAAAATCCCAAATGAAAAGGGGGACAAAACAATAGACACTGAGGAAATCCAGAGAATCATCAGGTCATACTTTGAAAACCTGTACTCCACAAAATTTGAAAATTTAAAGGAAATAGACAATTTTCGGGATAGATAGCACTTACCAAAATTAAATCAAGAACAGCTAAGCAATTTAAATAGACCTATAACCCC